GCGCGGCCCGGCCGGGTCCGGCGCCTGCGCACCGCCAGGGCCTGGAGACCCGGATACCTAACTTGAACGAGGCGCTGGCGGTGTGTGCGCACGCGCGCGTGCCAGTCCCAGCCGTGGGCCCTGGGCGCTGACCCTCAGCTCTTCAGCTCAAGGCTAGCGCTCAACCACCTGAGCCACAGCGCCACTTCCGGCTTCTTTTTTCTTACGTGGTGCTGAGGAATCGAACCCAGGGCCTCAGGCATGCAAGGCGAGCGCTCTACCACTGAGCCACCTTCCCAGCAACTCCCCCCTCTCCCCCATGGCAGTGTGTTTTTTTCAGTGAAATGAAATAAAAATACTTATTTGGTTCTGTGGACGTTCACATTTCAAGGGCTGTGCAACCACACGGGGCTTGTGGTTGCCATCCTGAGCAGTGCAGCTCTAGAACATTCTGTTTAGCTCTGTGCAGATGAGGTGCTGCTGACCAGAAGCTAGATGTACCCAGGAACACAGACAGGCAAGGCAGCACCTTTGTAAACACGAGGATAAGGGACCAGATCTGGAGGTACTGAGGGCTGAGACAGGGTAGCCGTGATGGCCAAGGAGATTGGGGTCCAGAGGACACCAGATGCTCGCCCAGTCCAAGTCTGGTGTTCAGGCAGTCACACAAGGCCCAGGGACCCTGTGCTCTGAGACGGTAGGACCGGGGGTCAGGAAACCAGGCCTGCTGGCCTTGGATGCAGGGCCAGGAAGCTCCACGGGGAGGAAGGTGGAGAACCAGCTAGACACCGCCCCAGGCCCTCCTGGGAGAGCCAAGCAGGTAAATAGGGTGTGGGGAGCCAGTCAAAAGTAACACCTTCTGGTAGAATGACCTTGGCCTTAAAGAAGCAGAGAACAGAGGGTTCAGGAAATAAAGGAGAAGCAGGCACCCACAGTGATCAACATTCAGGAAATTGACTAAACAGCTCACGTGAACTGAAAAACAAACGAAAAGAAACAATTGTTCCCAGGTAAATAAGGGTAAATAGTGGGCCGGGAAGGTGCTCAGAGAGTGCTTGGCTTGCATGCCTGAGGCCCTGGGTTTGTTTCCTCAGCACCACATAAGCAGAAAAAAGCTGGAAAAGGTGCTGTGGCTCAAGTAGTAGAGCACTAGCCTTGAGCTGAAGAGCTGAGGGACGGCGTCCAGGCCCAGAGTTCAAGCCCCACAACCGACCAAAAAAAAAAAAAAAAGGATAAATAGTGGAAGTCAGGTCAGAACCTTAACACTGACTCAGAAGCTAGATTCAGTGGGGCTGGGTGGGGGAGATGGAGCTCTGCACTGCTCTTTTTATTTTTGTTGGGCATGGGGCTTGACCTCTGCGCCTGGGTGCTGTCCCTCAGCTCTTCAGCTCAAGGTGAGCGCCCTACCCCTTGAGCCACAGCACCACTTCCAGCTTTTTCTGGTGATGTATTCGAGATGAGTTTCAGAGTTTCCTGCCTGGGGCTGGCTTTGATCTGTGACCCTCAGATCTAAGCCTCCTGAGTAGCTAGGATGACAGGCCTGAGCATGGCTCCCAGGAACCCCCTCCGCCCCCACTTTAAAAAAGTCATCTGGGATAAACTGGAAGAAGCTCAGAGCCAAGTGGGGGCGATGCATGGCTTCAGGATTTGGGGCACAGGGGCCTTCTAACGCCTCGGTCACCATCTGGATGGTCACCAGGCTTGCAGATGAGGTAGACGGAGATATGTGGATCAGATAAAGTAGATCAAACATGGATTTCACACCTTGTGGATGAGAACAAACAGTTCCAGAGCCTGGAAGGCTGGGGGGAGGGGGCGGGGCTGGAGAGTTTATAGCAGGTGGGACGTCCTAGGGGTGATCAGGGGAGTAACTGTAGACTGGGCCATAATTTGGGCGGCTAAGAATCAAGAAGATAAGACACTTAGGAATTTAAAGTTGTAGGGACAGTGACCCTCACCCACTGTACTGGAGCTTGAACCCTGGGCTTCAGACAAAGTAGGCGCACACTCCACATCAAGCTACACCTCTTCACTAAATTTTAGGAGTTTGTGTAATTTGCAAGGCATTAGGTTTAAACCCCAGCACCCAGAGAAAACAAGAGTTTATCCCTTTCCTAGAGATAAAAGTCTGAACAGAGAAGGTTAGTTGTCTATTTGGAAGAAAACAATTAAACGTATATAGGTAGTTCCTTGTAACCCTGCAACCCTGCAGCGTAATCACTGGGAGGAGCTGGCTGGCTTCACAGGCTCCAGGGCACAGATCCCAGGACAGGTGACTGACTAGGGAGCAAGCCTGGGGCTCTGGTGTCCCCAGGCCTACCCCAGTGTGGTGTGGGGGGGAGACCCGGACTTCAGCCAGGCCGGGGGCTGGAAGCTAACCACGCAGGGAGGCGGCCACAGTACAGCCCTTAAAAATTTGGCCAGTGAGGAGGGCTAAGTTCCTGTCCAGTGTGCCTGACCATCCTGAACTGATGGGGAAGGGCAAGGGCAAGTAGCCCAGGCTCTGGGCTGCAGGTCGAGCAGGCCGGCAGGGAGAGGACCAGAGGTCTAGGGAAGAAAGGCACTAAAGGGTCAGACACAGTAGGTACCTACTCAGGGGAAGGGTGTGTACAAAACCTGTAAGTTGGGCAAGTGCAGATCTGAGATGGTTATAATAAATCCCCAACAGTGTTCGAGTGTGTGAAGAAACAGGAGCCTTTTAGTTAAAATGGCACAGCTGTTGTGGAAGTCTGGTCTTTGCTCCAAAAACTACAAGTAGAATTACTTTACAATCTACTTCTAACTATGCATGCCAAAGGGCTGAAATCCTTGTTCCTAAGAGGTTTGTATACACCCTGGCCTAGCAGCATTCACGGGAGCCAAGTGGGAGAATAGCAACCCCAGTACCCATCTGTGGGGGAAGAAAGACGTGGGTCTTCCAGAGAATGAAATATTCAATCTTACAAAAGGAAGTGGCCAAGCTGGGAAGGTGGATCAATGAAGAGTGCTCTCCTAGCATGCACGAAGCCTTGGGTTCGACTCCTCACTACCACAAGCAAAGAAAAAGACGAAGTGGCGCCGTGGCTCAGTGGTAGAATGCTAGCCTTGAGCAAAAGCAGCTCAGGGACTGCACTCAGGCCCTGAGTTCAAACCCCAGCACTGGCAAAAAGACGTGAGTTGGGGACAGGCCATGGCTGGTAACAAGGGACCAGCAGGTAGGCTTAGAGACAAAGGAAACCAGGTTAGCTGTGCTCACCTAAGTCGGTCCTTACCAAGTTCCTACAACAACGTAAATCCCCACCATGCCCTCGTGTGGCCAGGGGTGAAGAGCGCGGGGTGGTAGCACCCAGATCCCTGCCCCACGGGGCAGACTCCGTGGTGTTCTGCCCAGGCCGAGGGCGATTGCAGGGCTCGGTCCCTGAAGGGGTCTGCTGAAGCCCCAACCCGAAGCTTTGGCGCGTCTTGTTGTCAGTGGACGGGCTCGAACTCGGCGTGGCGTGGCGCGCGGAGCCACAGCCCGGCTCAGGGATTCCGGTGGGCAACTTCCTCCAGTCCCCGGAGGCCCAGGCCGGGCCGGTCACCTGCTGGGAGGTGGCGGGCGGGGCGCAGCGGCCCGGAACCCGGGCAGGGAGCCCCCG